CAACCCTGGGGGATCTCCACTCAGTGAGTTAGGATGTCCCTTCTAGCCCTATAGCATTGTGAAAGAGGATTTGTGAAGGAAGGAAAGGATCAGCCTTCTGTTTGATTTGATAGGCTTATGTTCAGAGAGGGGAGTTCTGCCTTCATTAAAGATACTAGGATGTTTCTGAGATGCTGGCCAAGTGACCAGGAAGGTGGTTTAGTGGTCTGCGCCCAGCATGTAATAGGCTTTTACACCTTGGAACTCCTGATCCCAGGAAGGATCACTTGGCCTTTCATCTGATTTGCATGTATAAATTAATCACTGTGTGGCCGCATCTACACAAAACGCTGATTATGCAGTCGGTGCTGCGTAGTCATTTAGTACTTGTTCAGTACTTATATAAGTACAAGTACTAAATGACTGCGCAGCAACCCAAGCTACTGCACAGTAGTGCTGACGGATACCATTTTTGTGATGCTGCTGCTGCTGCTCAGTAGCTTAATATTACACAGCAGTGTTGCATCACGGTGGTTGCCACGTGACGATACTGACGGTAGGATCAGGTAACTGCGCCGTCAGCATCTCGTGTAGAGGTGGCCTCTTTTTTGAGGCTGGATCTCTGTCTCAGACAGGTGCTCTTGTATGATCACAAATTAACAAGTTTGATGCAGGCATTAGTGGCTGCAATTCTGTGGTTAGCATTATGCAAGACTTTAGACCAGATGATTGTTTGGTTTGCTGACCTCAACATCTGTGAAAGTAGCAATAATAAAGAAACAAGCACCACACAGTTGGGGGTCAGAATCCCAAATTTATTGAAAGGGGAGCTCACTGGCAACACTCTTAATCTAAATTATTTTAAAGCCAATTTAATACTAATCTGAAAAGGGATTTAAGTAGTGTGTAAGCGTTAAATTTACTCCCCTTAGGTTCTCTTACATAACATAGTACAGAGATACCAAGGAAGCGCTCAGTTTTAAGTGTTAATGATTACCAAAGCATTTTTTTCAGGTCTTATCACATAATATGGTGATAAGTGAGTGGCCATTTTGAAGCTTAACGGTTGTCACTTAAACCTTGTAGACACTGAAAAATTCAGGGATGAGACTTAGACCCTCCTCTTCCCAATATGTGGTTCCCAAGACTGGAGCTAGTAGTAGGCTCTCTATTTTTTAAATAGCCACAATTTGTTGGCCCTCAGTTGTGCATTCATCAAGAGAGGAGGATATGCACACGCACACACACAGAGGCATTTTTCCTTTGGTTCGGGTGCTGGAAGTCTCTGGCTTGGGTGTTGAAGGTCTTTAGTCCTGTCCCCACTGATGAAGCTGCAGGACCATCCCAAAGGCACCATGCACTATGCTGGGGCATTTGATTTGGGACTGGTCTCCACAGCCAGTCACAGCTTTGGTTTCCATTGGACTTGGTTTTCTGGTTGAATACAGAGTTGATCTGTCCCCCTTAGGCTGCGAGACCAGCCTTCAGGAATGAAGGTGGTGGCTGTCACAGAGCAGGGATTCGCTGTGCTTGCTCTGTATGAACGGGCTTTGCTTTTCGGGGCTCTTCACTGAGAAGGTTGGAAGGGGCTACACAGAAGCTTTGCTGCACATCTTGTCAATCTTCACACCTTGTTTGGGTCTTGGAGATAGAGCAAGTGACTGAGCTTTCTTCAGCCCACTGAGAAATGAAGGCTGCCATCCTTCAGGCTGGGAAGTTTTGTTTTTTTTTCTATTTTAGCAGCTTGTGCAGAAATGGTTCAGTGACTGTGAACCATTTTAGGGGCTGAGCAAGCACGCAGAACATGTGATTCATACCTGGGCTTTTCTCTTCCTTTTTGTAGTGTGAACTTGCGGAGGTGTTTGGAGATTTCAGAGAAAAAACTCCAAGAGAGGCCTAGGCTATGACTCAGCCCCCTTGGGAACCCTTGGGGTGTTTCCCCCACCCCCTCATTAAAGAGTTCACTGGTAAGAAAGTTCTCTAAGAGGTTTTGCCCCATCAGTTGTGTGGCTCAGCTGATTTTGCCTAAACGCAGCTAGTCGGTGAATGGAAAGATCACATCATTGCATGTGAGAAAGTTCTTGTTATCTCCAAATAATTATAACGGCAGTGTTGACTGCTATTAGGGCTTCAGAAAATAACCATGCCAGGTAAGAACCTGACCCAGTGCCTTAATGATGCTGTGGACCTAGGTTTCATTTTTTTCCAGTCTTCTATGCCTTGAACTAACAGCAAGGACTAGGAGCAAAAGAAACCTGTAAGAGGTCTTGGTATAATCCCTGATTCTACAAAAATACTTACTCTTAGGAGTAATCCCAACCCTGTTCAACAAAGCAGTTGAGTTTTGTGGAACTTAAATTTGTGCTTAAAGTGAAGTATATCTCATAGCTCTAGTCTGCATACAATTTTAAAAATCTTATTATTTAATATCTAATATTAATGAGTTATGGGTCTTTGGAAGCAATATTTTTAAACAAAGCAAATGCAGAACCCTAATGCAGATGCCGCTTTGCTGGTGTAAAAGACCTTATATCTGTATTGCTCATTCCCATCTGGGAAGAGCAATAAGCAAGGCTGCTCCAAACACATTTATCTTGGTAAAGAGGGTCATACCGGTGGGATGATGCCAGTGTAGATAAAGCAGTTTGCCTCTGTGAATCTGTCAAACTTCCATACTTTCCTGAACATCAGTGGGATTCCTCCTATGCCTACATTTAAGGATTTGCTTTAAATGCTTTGCTGAATTGGCAGACAAAACTCTTTGGGTAGAGGCGGTATCTTTTATTAGACCAACTAAATAGTTGCAAAAAAAAATGGTTCTTAAAAAAAATGTTCTTTGCAAGCTTTCGGGCCCACATGCCCTTCATCGGGCAAAGGAAAAGCTGAAGCTGTTATGAGTTCTCCAAAGTAGAAAAGAAGCCAATCTGTAAAAAGCTGCTCTGTGAAAATGCAAATGTTAAGTAGTTTGGGAACACAATCTCTGGTAAAAAAGCAGGCAGGGTACCTGTGGTTATCTGATGGCTTTTTGCTAACTAACGTTGGCCAAGTCTTTCGGTGATGAGTTGAACATCTGTGTAACAGTCAGCCTTTAAAGACCTGTAGGTGGGGGCAGAAGGCCTGACACAGCTGCTGTTCTTCCCAAGGTGGTGGCATTTTGTTTTAATTGTGGTGGTCCCTGCAAGACCAGGTCTTTGAGGCCACACGGTACCTGCACCGCAGTATATTTGCAGTTTATCTGTTTTGGTCGTGGCTGGTGTTTATAAGTTGTATTTACTATGCTGTTTCTATAAACATGGCGAAAAGTGCAACGTTTGGATTTTAGCCCAGTTTCTTAGTGAGATGTTGATGCTGCAAGCTGGTGCAGTCTGGAAAAAAGAGAGCCGCTCAGGATCGGGCGCTCTCCATATATACAAAAAACTCTCTCCTACTTCACTGGATGGGTTGGGCTCTCTCTGGGGTGTTACTGTCTTGCTCGTTCTACCTGCCAAAGTCCCAGGAGCACGTTTGTGTCCCTGCCCAATCTACCGGGCACAGCACAAGAATCCAAATGGACTAGAAGAGATTTTAATATGACATCTGCTGGGTGACTTCGAATCACAGAAAAGTTGAGTTGCAAGGGACCTCCAGAGGTCCCCTTGTCCCAACCGCCTGCTCAAGCCAGGGTTGTCCCTGTCTGAACTACCTTGACAAATTAGAATTAACTATCCTGTTTTTCAAAACTTCAAGAGCAACCCTCACACACAACTCGCAGACATAATGCCTGAAACATCCAAAACACCCTTTAACTTGCCACAGGTAAAGCAGAGGAAGGAGGGCACTGCCAGCATCCTTTCCCTGCAAGGACAGGAAATGGTTGTAAAAATATGTTTAAGAGACCCAAGGAAAAGGATTTCATAGACATTAGGGCTGGAAGGGACAGCACACCCTCACCTCTCCTCCTCCGCCTCCCCCTAAATTTTACAGCATCCCTAGACCATCTGCTCCACTGCCTCACTGCTTAAGGAAGATATTCCTGATGTGTGATCTAAACGTACATTGCTGCAGTTTAAAGCCACCACTACATGTTCTTCCCTCTTCAAGGGAGAAAAGTCATTTTCCCTCTTTATAGCAGCTCTCCAAATTTTTGACGACTGCTGCCATATCCCTCCTTTAATCACCTTTTCCCCATGCTAAACATGTTTAGTTCTTTCAAACTCTCTTCGACATTGCAGCCATCGTCTTCAGTAAGCATCACGAGTTGATCCCACTGCAGTAAAATCAATTGGTCCTTAGTCAGTGAGTCAGTTCCTTGATGTGGGGAAATTGTCCAGATCTTAATCTGAACCATACAAGTAACTGTTCAGAAGTGGGGTATAACGGGTTATTTAGTGGAGAGTCAAAACCAGATTGTGCTATAGTTTCTCTCTCTATCTTGGTTTTGGTTATATTGCTGTAATATGGGAGTTTGTGCATGCGTGTATGTCTGTGCAAAGACATACAAATGTTACATATGCGGCATATGGGGACCGCAAGCTTTGTACTATTGACTAAACTATATACATTCATGCTCGTTGCTCAGCACTGATGCAGCAATAACACCAAACAAGGAGAAACGGGAAAAATACAGTACTATTAGTGGAATAAACCCATGAGCCAGAATCCCAAAATCATAACCCTATCTGCAGTTGTTTGCTCTAGTTTACCATCTTTGCTAGCATGAGTCTGGAGTGAGCATCAGGTAGTGGGACTCAGAGTGGCCAATCCTCTTGAAGTTGGCTTCTGCGTAAATCTTTTCCCTGGTTTGTATTGTTCCCCCCACCCCAGAAAGAGAAGAATCGTTTTCCAGACCATTCTCTACCTGTAGCTGTAATTGCTGTGTTTCTTGACCCACTGATTTGATACATTGTTATTGGTCTGGGTACTGCTTTGATTTTTTAATTCTTTGTTAATGTTGTTTTTCCCTTCTTGTTTTTTTTTTTCTGTTTTAACAGATCAGTCTGGAAAATATGAACCATGAGAACATCCAGTCACCATTAGATAAGTATTACAGTGACTCACATTGTCATAGCATTGATAGAGACGGCTTTTAGAAAAAGATAGCAGTCTAGTGGCTGACACGCAAAACTGGGAGTCTTTTTTCCTGCCTTTGACACCTCGCTGTTCCTCTGACTTCCTCTATTTTTCATGAACAACACAATCCCTTGCTTGTGGTTCACTCACCTAAACAGTAATGCAGACACATTGCCAGACCCAAGAGGCAATACAGTGATGATTATTTAGTTTCTGCAAAGTTACTAAGACCATGTGTATTAATTACCTAGACAGACAAAACTCCTGGGGTAGAGGTGATTATCGTTTATTAGACCAACAAGATAGTTGATAGTTATTTGTATTGCCTAGACATTTTTGTATTGCCTAGATGTTTTTTAAGCATGCAGTTAGTGGCTTTCCTGTTTTTTGTGTGTTTTATCTTTTTCCAGCAGCTGATTTCTGTCTTGGGACCAGCAGCCCAGAGTGCAAGAGCAGGTAAGAGGACTGCTGTTTTGCACTTAACCTACGTAATTCAACACCATAGAAAAAAAAAATTAACCCCAGTGAAGTCAAGGCAAAACTTCCATTGACCACAATGGGAAACAGATTTTACCCATGGTGTTTGTGGATATTATTGCCCATCTAATCTGTTCTATACAGCTCATGGCATCATCAGGGCCTCAAAGGCATTATCCCAGATTGAAATAAGTAGTAGTCATAATGCCGAAGCAAAGGCAAGGGAGGGCAATCTGTTTTTAGGATGGAATTGCAAGAAGGTGAAGAATTGAATTGCAGAAATAAAGGACACCTTTGAATTGGCTAGAGTTGCAAAAGCATCGCCACTGGCCAAGTTATAAGAAGGTTCGGACTAGAGACAGACTGTAGATGAGCAAAGAGAGGGAGTGAAGGGCTTTAAAGACGCTGGAGCAAGTTATGGACTTTCAATAACCAGGAAGAGCAGTTTTGTCTTGTGGATGGTGAGCCATGGACGGGTGTGTGTGGGTGGGGGAGCGGTGGATAGAGTTGCATGCCTTCTTTAGGAGAGAAGGGTGACATGAGCCTTTTGCGTTCCTGTTTGGTTTGTACTTCTAGTTTTGTGGTGTGATGGGTAGACCTATGCAGGGGGTCTGCTCTAGCCCTGGTACGTGTTGTAGTGTAGTTAGGAACGTCTTCGTATCTCTGAATAACGTTTGTTCAGAGCATTAGCACCATTGAGGAATAAAGGTCAAACCCTTAGGTGTCTCCCATGCTACAGAGGTGACTCCTCATAGTTTTATAGTTGTCAGGGGCCGGAAGGGACCTTACAGATCATCGGGTCCAGCCCCCCTGCAGTTGGGCAGGAAAGACTGCTGGGGTCAGATGACCCCAGCAAGATGGGCATCAAGATGCTTTTTGACGATTGCAAGGGTGGGCGATGGTACCACCTCTGCGGGGAGCCTGTTCCAGACCCTCGGTACTCAACTTGTAAAGAAGCTTTTCCTTCCGTCTAGTCTGAAGTGATCCTCACTCAGCTTGTGCCCATTATTCCTGGTCCTCCCCTATTGAACAAATGCTCCCCCAGGCCCTGGTGTACGCCCTGGATATACTTCCCTTGTTGTGAAGCAGGCCAGTGCAGAAATGTGTAGGAAAATGTGGTTTGTCTCGTGAGCTGGTGATCATGGCCGCACCGTTTCCCAATGATGGAATTGCCTTTAAAACCTTCTGGGGTCAGGCGTTGCCAGCTCTACCAGCGACTCAGCTGAGTCTGATTAATCTCACCACAAAAATGCTTGAAGTCACATCCTGACATTGCCCTTCAGAAGCCATTTGGCTTCCTGGTCAACCACATCTTATTGCCCCAGCCAGTGAGTGGAGGGCCGTGGCTTCAGGAGTTTTATGAGATGCCTTTCTAAGATGGTGTGTCCGCAGCTCAGGTGACATTGCAGGTGAGCGTTTCAGAGCTGCTGAAGTCTCTCTGCCATCACTCAGTGGAAATCCCAGCCTTCTTCCTCCGGGTATCTGCCATGTATTTGTCGCTTCATGGAGGATTCCACCTCAGAAGTCACATTCTGGTGTTTTCCCTGTGCGCTGTCTCTGCAATACTTAGTCGACCGTGCAGCTCAGGCATGCTGCCTGGCTGCCCAGCACAGCTCTGCGTTTGAGGTGGCTGATCAAAGGGGCTTTCCAGCCACAGAGGCCATTATTAGTAAGTTAGCATTTACATGCCCCTGTGGGCTAAACCTGTTAGCTGCATGCAGACTTTTCTACAGATTGCTCTGGCCTGTAAATAATAGACTCATGAAGTTTCCGAGAAGCGTAATAACTTCCCTAAATATTTTTACCCCATTCGAATGAGCGCTCACTTGTGCACATTCTCTCTCTCTCTCTCATTTTGAAAAGTTCATTAAAAGGATGAACAAGGTTAGATGCCTTTTATTTTTATTTTTTTAGCAGGGGTTTTTTTTTCTCTCCTTTTTGTGGTTTCCTTGTGGGCCGCTGCAGGACCATGAAAAGTCTGAACGAGTCTGGGGAGTGTGCTTGTAAGACCATGCAAGCTACAAGACCCAGGGTAAAGTTTTGCAAAAAAGTCCCATGGTCAGAAGAGACTTAGGCATCTAAATCACATAGTCCTTTTGAGACTGGGACTTCATTCCCCCGAGGCACTCTTGCAAATTATTACCTCCCTTTCAGAGCAGTCATGGCAGTATCCTGCTCCTATCAGAGGCTAATACCTATTAGCAGCAATTACAGTGGGTGTTTAGCAGTATTATTTTTCTCCTAGCATCTCAATATTTTGCAGGTGTTCTCCCCTGGATGCATTTCAGCGCTGGGAAATCTGAGGTGCTGAAATAAAGAAAAGACGTCTGCGGCTAGGCCAGGCTGCCAATTGAATGCTTCAGCATGGTGCTCCACAGCCATAGGAGCAGCCCACAGCCCCTGGCAGTGCCATGGGGCCACGTTGTGCCAGGATCATGATGAGGAAAGTGTTCCTGCACCAAGTTGCCAAATGGTTCAGAGGTGCCATGGCAAAAGCTGGGTGTGAAAGGCGTGGTGAATTAATTGACAGTCCCTTCAGTGTTTGGCAGGGAGGATCTTCTCATATCCCAGAGCAGTTCCAGGCCACTAGGTTTATACAAAGTTACATGTTTCAGTTGAAATGAGTACAGGGAGGAGCAGTTTCCTCTCTTGCCCTTTGTGGCTGCCCTGAGTTGCAAACCTGGCCAGCTTTTCCTTCCAAAAGCCCTTGCAGAACTGGATTTGGGGAGCTCCCCTTGTGATTCTGCAAGTTCTCCTTAAACTTGCTCCCTGAGCCCCTCACAGACCACCTACTTCCATCTTGTCTGCTCAGGCTGCACCAGCCAATCTCATCTTCCTCAGCTCATTTCCACAGCCAGAGGCTCTCCGCAGTTTGGGGTTTTGGAAGAAGGAAGGCTATTAAGCAGCCGTATCAATTTTTAAATCCCTTTCCTTCCTCCCTCCTTCCCTAGGAACCTCTGGTTCACTTGGTCTTTGTGTCTTTGGAGCCCCTTCCCTTTGGCTTATTTCTTCCCTTTTCAAGCTTTCTTCCCTTGCATTTTTCATGATATTCTCTGCCAAAGATGCTCAGCAGTATAATTTCTGTGCATGTCCTGACATAGGATTGTTTCATCGAAGTGAACAAAGCTGGGACCTGGCCTGGTATGAACCAAATCCCAGAGATTTGGAGCCTAAACACTTTTTGATTCCTACCGTACAATGTGTACATCCCCCAAAACTGGGCCCTGCAAGCTCAAGGCCCTCTCAGGAGGATCCCCCATGTTCCCCCTAATCAATCCTGAGTGTAAAGGAACAAAGTTAATACAGCTTAGAATTGGGCAGCTCTGCACATCTGCTAAAACCAACTTGGATAAAAGAGGAAGCATTGCCTCTTCAACAGTGTTTAATTTAGAAAGCTTTTCATCACCTGAAGGAACTGCACCCATTACACGTGCATGGTACCTGAGGGGCTACTGTGTTCAAGTTTACCCTTCAGGGCATGCTACAAGGATCACCTGGCCAGGGGGCTTTTTTGGAAGGATTGTTGCTTGGGGCAATTTGTAGGGAAGCGCTCTAAGGTTTAGTGAGTAACTGCTCCTTATGGTGAAGGTGGTTTGTTTCGGGGATTGGCACTTAAAATCTTGTCAAAGGTTCTCGGGTCTTCGGAGAAATGCCGTGTCCATGGTCTGGTTGAATGAATCTAAATAATTTTCTAATAAGTGGACCTTGAGTGTTTTATATTGTCCGGGGATATTGTGCTATATGGGAACTGCATGGAGGCCTGATTATAGCTGGTGGGCTGTAGCAAATACAGAATAGCCAATAGAAAGCAGCTTGTGCAGTGAGAAGTAGAGTTTCTAATTGAAGCATGTATGTTTAATCATGTCTGTCTGAAACAACTGTAGGATAAAACCTTGAGTGACAAGTCAGGAAGGAATATCTCAAGTTTATTTTGATCAAAGGAAGTGACAATCTCACAGCACACTTTGCACATGTGTAAACACCTTCCTGCTGCTGAGACCAACAGACACATCCTCTTGCCAGGCCCCTCTAGTCAGGTTTTACCCTGCCACCCATCATCCTAGTAGGCGAGCACCCACCACCTAAAATCATTAGTGATAGCAAAGCTCCTAGTGGACTTTATGGGGACCCTGGCCCATTTCCCTTTTTGGGGGGCAAAACTCTGCTTATGGTGGAGCGATATTTTTTTATATTCAGGGCATTTTCTCCTAACATCTTCCAAATGCATGTAAGGGTTTGCTCTCATATGGTGTAGGGTGCAGTCGGAGGCAGGAGCTTGGGAGGTAAACTGGCTTGCTCCTAGCCAGTGAGCGAATCACAAGACACAGCAGGTGAAACAGGACCCTCCCGTCAATGGCAGAACTCCGATTGACTTCAGTGGAGCCAGGATTTTGTCCCAGGCCAAGAATTAGAGCACAGGGGCAAGATAATGCCATGGACACATCACATCATCTTCTCATTAGGGAAGGATTAACAGTCCAGGGTGCATTTTTGATGCACACGTGAGTCTCGCTCTAATGAAGATCACACTTGAGCAGAGGTGTCCAGTCTGGTGTCACACTTGCTTCCAGTGTACAAAGTCATCTGGGGGCTTATCCCATAGAATCACAGAAAAATTAGGCTTGACGAGACCTCAAGAGGTATCTAGTGCAGCCCCCTGCTAAGGGTAGGATCATCCCTATCTAAACCATCCCAGATAGATGCTTATCTAACCAGCAAGTTAAACTTCCAGAAATTGAGATGCTGCAATCTCACTAGCTTGCCTGTTCAGTGCTTGACCGCTCTCATAGTTAGGAAGTTCTTCCCGATAGCTAACGTTCGTTCTGTCTGCTGCAGCAGGCCGAGCAGTTCCATCAATTCTTCCTCATTAGATCGTGGTGGACGTGTCCGTCCTTCCAGAGGGCACAGCAGGCAATTGTGGGACGTCATTGGGAGTACAGCTGTACTTAGGTGGCACTAGCCAGTGACCATACGGCAGAGAGGTCATGTTAGCAAGTTGGGCTGCTTCTAACATTAGCTTAAGCCTCTGGATTAGCCAAGCAATGCAGGGTCTAAAGCACCACCGGGCTTGGGTTCACGGGCTTTGTGTGTAGATGAAGCATCTTAGAGGCAACCCCTTGTATTATAAAACAAGTCCAAAGAACCTCTCCTCTTCTGCAGAAGGGCTATGTAAGCATCTCAGTCTCTCTTAAGTCACAAATTGGGACAGTCAGCTTTGCACAGAATCTCCTCCCAGGGGAAATCCCCCGCCTCTTTGAAGACACTTGTATTTGGTCATGAGTCTAGATCATGATCTATACTTGGGCAATAAAAAAATGAGCTTTTCTGAGGGATTGAACAGTGTGGTGGTCTCAAGTGGTTCTGCTCGTGGGAGCATGCCGCTGCTTCCCTGCTGTACAGTATGACAGCACTCCTTTTAAATGGAGGCACAGAGCCAAGAGTCAGAGGCCAGGCAGTGAGGGCTTAGTTTTGAGGTGCTTCCGCCATCCCGACCTTTGTTGTAAAAGGGATCCCAGCTTCCTGGGTTTGTGGGACGAAGCCCAGGGCATTTATTGTGTCAGAAAAGGAGCATTTCATGGCTGCTGCCTCTGCAGCTTTGTCCTGTGTTCCAGCATTAGTGAAGATTTCTCTGGCTCCCTTCCTGGGATCTGCACATCACTAGGCTGTGGCTGTACTACGGGAGAGAAGCAGTGCCCAGTTCAGAGCGTCATTGTTATTTTGATGTCACCATAACCCCAAAGCGTCCAGCAGCCCTTTATCTGAGGAGCAATTGCCAATTACTGTGTACAAATGCAGTCATTTTAATCTGCTCATAATTGAATAAATCTGGGGCTGGCACCAGAGACAGTGGCAGGAGCTGTAGAGGCTGCTGTGTAGTGTGTGCTCAAATGAAAAAGGCTTCTTTCAATTTGCTTTAAGGTGTCAGGCTCAGTTTCTTTCCCCGTGCTCTGACTTCACGTTGCAAATGCTGAAGTTTGGGGAGGAGAAACTAATTGGGAGGGTGGCGGGGTGGGTAGAGCATCGTGGCGAAGGAGAATGGAGACTGCAGCAAAAAGCATCATCGTAAAGAACTGGACATAATGGTTTAAGGCAGTGGGGGCCAACCTTTTTGGCACCTGTGCCACAAATTCACCTGTCACCCTCCCCGAGTTGATCCCTTTCCCTTACCCATTCTACTGCTCAGCTTTCACCTCCCTGCTCTGCTTCCTACGCTGTGCTCCCTGCCTGATCTGATGCTCTGCTTTCTGCTCCATGCCCTGTCTGCTATGTGCTGCCTGCCCCCTCCCCAGTCTTCCACCTGCCACACACACAAGCTGCCTCTGCCACTTGTGGCACTCATGCTGCAAGTTGGCTACCCCTGCCTTAAGGAGAGTGGGGCGTGTTTTACCCAGGTTTGGCTTCAGCAGTGAGGACCCAGTATCACCCTCCCATCTTGCTTTTAAAACCAGCTCCTTCCTCTTCCCTGTTTCCGCCTGGCGCATACCAGGCCATCCTAGGAAGAAGCTTGCTTATGCTGGCTGGTCTCTTGTGTAGTATTCGAGTGAGGATGCCAATGGGCTTTGAGCTGCTACTATTAAAGTAGCACAGTGTGTATTTTTACACTCCTAGTAACGTGCTGTCAAGCTTGCTTCATGCCAGGAATACCAATGAAGAAGCAAGAGAGCAGGCCTGCCGCCTTGCTGCTGCGCTTGGAGAAATCCCGGGAGTGTTCAGCCTGCAAAGCTGAAGGGGGCAGGAGGGGGGAGGCTGACAGTGGACTGGAGGCTTGTTCCAGTACAGATGCGTGCAGCACGGCAGAAAACAGCAGTGCCCTGAGGCTGCTTCACCACTGGTAAAACTCAGCCCTGTAGTCCCCAGCCATCTGGAAAGTGTTGTGTGGGCAGGTCTCTGACCTTTTCACCATTGTGTGGTCTTACTTGACTCGGGGGTCCAGTTAATTAAAATCCCTGCTGTAGATGAGGCTTGAAAACACTCCCCATCACCTTGGCAAGTTCCTCTTTTGCAAAGGATGAATATGGTTCCGAGCAGTAAATGATAAGTCATTTGCTTCGAGTCCAAGGGAGATAGAGAGCAGCATGTGATCTTTCTTTTGTTGTTGTTTTAATGTCCCAAATTCTGTGTTGAAAGTCGAGTGTCTGTGTGGTTAAACACAAGCTGGTTAAATGGCTGTAACCCGCCTGCACACACGTGCATTCATAGGGATCGTGAGGGCTGACTAATAATTCTGTGCAGAAATTCAGCCAAACTCCAACACTAGGTCAGAGATGATAGTTAACAAATTGTGAGGTTATTTTATTCATCTGAGCAAGAGCTAGAGAGGCCTGGTTGCATAACTCTGATCTGCACAGATCAAAAGAGCTGAGGAGATGGTGTATTTTACACCTCTTGCTGAAGGACTTGTCCACATGAGAGTTTCTTTTCTAAAAGAGGGTTTTCTTTTATCTACAGGTTTAGATACACTGGGCAGGACAGGGCATCCATACCACTGTGACCGGCCCTTCTTCAGCTTCCTCCCTCATGATCTGTTGTGTCCATCTAGCTCTGCTTCCCCCAACCCCTCAAGCATTCAGGGTAGATTTGTCATAGTGCATGGTTCCCAGAGCCAAGTGACAAGTTTTTCTAGCAGTGCATTGTGGGAACCTAGTGAAATTCTGGGACTTGGTGGTCATATTAACAAATTCCCATGTCTCTTTTCCTAGTACCCCCCAAGTTAATTTGGTTTGAGGGAGGCTGCTATTTCCTAGTTACTATCAGCCAGCAAGAAGGAAGCATGGCTGAGCACTGCAATCCCAACCATCACTCATTTTGGCAGGATGCTACAGAGGTGTTGGCTGGGTGCGTAGCTGGGCAGCTTTGGACGTGTTGAGAAAAAGTCCAGATGCAAGTGCACGCTACTAGAGAGTCAGGTGGCAAGAGTTAGCCAGTTACTCCTGTCCAGCCTGGTTTCATTTAGTGGCGTGCAGTTCCGGCCCTGACGGGTGGGTTGCAGTAGCGCTGCTTAAACTGAGGTGACCTGCTAATGCATTAACACTTGACTTTGTGCCCTTACAGAACCTGACTTCTGCTTCCTCCATCCTCCCAGCACTGCCTTTCCGCTGACACGACCTTCTGCTGCAGGTGGGGCCGTGGCTGGTGCACGAACTGGCTCTGTCACCCGTGTCATTCAGAAAGCGGCAGTTTTCCCCTGCGCGAGGGGAACTCTCCATTGACCATGGCAGAGCGAGCAGCGCTGCGTCACACTGGGTTGTGCCCCGAATACAGAATCGGATTGTAGACCAGCCGTGAACAAAGGGTGGGGCATGTAAGTGAGCCGGATATTATGTCTTGTGTTGAAGGGGATGGAGGGAGGGGCATTAAAACCTTGTGTTGGGGGTATTGTGTGCCTAATGGCTTCCTTGAAGTCAAGCCAATATGGCATAGTTAGTGTACTGGCACAGAGTGAAGCTTGCAGGAGCCCCAGGTCCAAGACATGTCATGTTCGATCTATGAGCGGGACCAAAGTCACCCCTCAGTTTGAGTTACCCATGATAATTCAAGGCAGGCGAGCCATCAGAGATCGACACAACTGTCCTGTGCCGCAGGGAGTTTAGGCCCCTCAGCTTTGTTGTGTGGTAAAGCAGTTATTCTTAATGCTGCTAAATCAAAATATAGGTCCTTCTCCCTGGCTGGTTTCCCCTACACCAGCATGTTTTTAAGAGACTGCTGTTTCAAGAGGCTCTAGAACTAGAAACCATTGTCACAACGGTTAGTTATCTGAAAGCGTGGAGCCAGTTCCCCACACGCTGCAGCAGCTGCTAGAAGAGCAGAACCCAAAATGGGAAATAAAGAGTGAGACAGTGATTAAGACTGGTATCCTGTTATGGCCTGAAATGACTGACACAGCTAGGGATGTGTCACTAGATCAGCACTAATGCTTTCAGTACTGAATGCATCTTAAGCATTGGTCCTGGTCCAGTTGAATCATATATAGGCTTCTCTGTGGCGTGTAGTGTCTGAGCCCTTCACGGGTGTTCAACAGTTTAGCCTTCTATCACTCTTTTGTGGTGAAGTGGGTAATATTACCCATCCCCACTCCTTTTGGCCCAAAGGGCCCCAGGTCACAAAGGATGTCACCGGTAAGGCCCAGAATGAACTTCAACCCTACTGAATCCTACTCTTACCATGAGGCTAGCTCTGATCAGGCATCATCATGCTCTGCATGACATTATTGAGGGAGTTCGAACATGGGATTCGATTCTACTCCCACCTCTGCTAATAAAACATTATGGAGCCTTGCCCAAGGCTACCTTTCAGCAGTATCTTACTCTGTGCAGCACCTTGGGGCTCTCATTCTGACACAAGTAATCAGTAGTGGTGTTAGAAACAGTTCTGTTCCTCTCTTGAGAGACTGGATCCGGTGCTGCGAGCTGGCTTAGATCCAGTGATATCAATAGGGCTGTAACTAATTTATACAAGCAAAGGCCTCTGACCATAAGCAAGCATTTTATTTGCAGTTCTGATTCTTCCTTCTGCATACTACGGTCCCATACGTTTATCTGGTAGAACCATGAGGGTCTTCAAACAGAATAAAATAAGGGAGCGGGGTATGGGATGGATCCCAGCTCCATGTAACACAGCATAACATATCTTGGTGCAATACCGTTTGCATTTTTGATTACAGAGAAATTGCTGTCTTCATTAAAGGATGCTTACAGACATTAAAAAACCCCAAAATAAAAAACATGCTTTACTGGAAGAAGCAGCATGTTAGTTCAACCTAGCTCCATAGCATCTGTATAGGTCAGGCACTTCAGTGGGGCTTTTTGGTGCTTTTATCTAAAGCTGATTCACTCACCTATGAAATAAAAGTGCCAAAAAGACCCCACTAAAGCACCCAATCTATAAAGATGTTGGGTGAGCTGGTTACAACTAACTTGATGCCTCTTCTGGGCATGTGCTGGGCTCAGCACAGGAGCGTGCTGAGTTTAAAGTAAAGCATCGGGCGGTTTTTCATTTGTTTGTTTTAATGTCTGTAAGCAGCCAAAAAGTCTTGTAGCATCCTCTACCATGGGCAAGAAAGATGCTTTACAGCCTTACTCTGCCTTTTATCCTGAAGGAATCCAAAGCACAGCACAAAATATTTTCACGTTTTGGAGAATGGCGTGATAAAGGTTTTAGCATGAAGCACCCTTCTCAGTCTGAACTGTAGCATCTTCCTTTCAGCTGCAATGCTGGGATAGAGAAGAATAATTTCAAGCCCTACTTGAAATGTACCACCGCTAATGTGGAAACAAGGCAGCTGTTTCACAGCCACACATCAGCTTTGGGCAGTGAAGAATTGATATGTGATTATTTTTAGCGTATCTTGAATGATTTCTGAGGATTTGTGTCAGAGGCGGCAAAGTAGCACAGATACAAACAACTGTCTTTACAGCAGAAAGTCCAAGGATGACTTAGAGGTGGTAGCAGATAACGAACAACATATGAGTTTGCAATGTGCAGTGCCAGCATGTTTAGAACCGCTGCTCTGGGATGCATCTGTAGGAGGCCTCCCCTGTGAAACTAGGGAGGAAAGATTGCTTAAAGCATAAACTTGATGTAGTGGAATAACCTGGAATATGCTGTGCAGTTCTGGTTCCCCAATCCCAGGTGGGTTTAGAAAAGCTAACGTGAAAAGGTGAGCAGAACTGATAGCTGTAGTGGAGGATTTGATGGATGTGCTCTGCCAGGACTACCTATTTGTCCTTGCTCAGTCAGAAATCTTGCTGCCACAAACAGGAGTTCTTGGTAGGGATCGGTTCATAGCGTAGAAAAGAGGAAACATGAGTTTACTTTCAACTCATAGAGGAAGGAAACAGTGAGGCCCTGGAATAAGGTGCTGAGTATGGGAGCTTGTGGGATCTGCTTCATTGATGGGCTTCCGGAGCATGAGAGACATCTGTCAGGAATGGCTTAGGAGTCGATCCTCCCTCGGCAGGCTGGGCTAGATGATCTCCCGGCGTTCCTTCCAGCTTCACTTTCCTATGATCCTACAATCTCACCTTCAAATCAAAAGTACAAACGGAAGAAGGAAACTCTTTAACCTTAGGGGAAGGCAGGACAAGGAACCAGTGACCTGGAGCTAGAACAAATTACACTTACGCTGGACTTTAGGAACCAGATCTTCACAGCGAGGGCTGCAACAACCTTCTCCTGCAGATCGCCCTAAGTTCCCAGGTGATCTCACAGTCTCATAGTTGGTAGGGTCCGAAGGGACCTGAGCAGATCATCAAGTGCGACCCCTTGCCATGGCAGGAAAAAGTACTGGGGTCAAAAGACCCCCAGCAATGAAGGCAGTGGGGGTCTGTAGCAGGTTGCCACCACAGCCTCTTCATAGTTTCATAGTTGTTAGGGGCTGGAAAGGACCTTACAGATCATCGGGTCCAGTCCCCCTGCGCTTGGGCAGGAAAGACCGCTGGGATCAGATGAGCCCACTCAGCCTTTTGTCCCTCTTCCCCACCCCGACCGCAAGTGTCTGTCAGCAATATCCAGTCTTTTAAACCTGCTGGCTTTTGCTCCCTGTTGCCTCTCTCGGCATACCCCAGTAATATAGTCTTTTAACAAAATAAGGCAAGTAATTAAAGAAACCTTATTGTGCTGGACACTGGGAGGGGTCTGCTGTGGCTTCAGCCTTCCCACTGCAGGCTCGCCCACCTGGTAGTCCAGAAGTCTCCTGTCTCTGGTGTTTCTCCTCCGTACTCCCTCTGGTTCTCCCTGCTGGGGTTTTGGTTCCCAGCAATCCCCTCCCTCATTAGCCGTGGCACAGCTGCAGCCCCTCAGCCAGGCTAGCTGCTTCCTTTTCAGGGGATAAGGCCACTTTGTTGCAGGGTCCTCATGCACTCACAGTTATGCATGGGTTTTAGTGCTTCTGTGAGCCAGGTTTGAGGGAATCATGCTAACACCCTAAATCGCATCCAGCCCCAGTGAAGAGCTGCCATGTCCGGGGTAGGCTATCTAAATGCAGAGTCGAGAGGAAAGGATGCTACAGGTAGGGGGAGGAGATGGAGGAGGGAAGCCGTTTGCACACCCGTCCTTGCCAAGTACTCATTCGGAACAGCAGATGTTAACACGGGATCCAGAGGTCCATTGACTCACGTTTAACTCTATTTACGAAGCCTGCAAGGAGACCGAAAAGGGCGTTTTGTTAGGGGGATGAAATATAAACATGGAGGAGGCCACGTGGACTTGTCACATTCCCGCAAGAAAGAAAAGCATCTCTGTGATGATGGGAATTGGAACTGGAAAGAAAAGAGATAAAAAGCAGCCCTCCCCCTCCCCCTTCCCAGTCTCTTGCAGCCTCCCTCCCATCTCCTCTTGCACATCACATGGCAGCGGGGAGAGAGGGAACACAAAAAGGCAAGATGCTTTTTTGACTGGGTGCCAAGGTGGATTTAATTAGCTGTATTGAATTCGTTAACTTTTGAACGTCGCGTCTGCTGCAAAGCACACGTGAGAAGTTGCGGGTGGTGGCGGCGAGCTGCATCAATCTGCCAAAGGACTCGGCAAAGCAGAAAGATTGACCTACTTTTGTCAGATCTGAAGAGATCGCAGTGTAATGCTCTTCTTGCCTAGACACTGCTGCATTTCTTGGTCTCGTTGGGAGTGTTTTCCCTGCTTTTAATCTGTTCCTTAAAAGGGAGATTTCCCTCCTGTGATAAAAGGGAGCCATTCAGGAGCCCTACAGTCACATTTCACCTTACACGGATACATAGATCTGTGTGCTGTACGATGTCAGCTGGTTTGTATTGAGAAAGGGCTCATCTGGCTGGCTGGCTGGCTGTGACTTTCTTCCTTTCCCTGCTGTCACACTATTTTTTAAGCTTTAAATATTGCTGTACTCTATGCTACGGTAGAACCGTAACACCTCGTATGGTTAGGTTCCTAATCTTCCTTAGTCCCCGTGGGAAGGTGAAGTTTTTGCAAAGTAGCTGGGGATATCCGGAGCTGCTGCAAAAGCTTCCTGGGATCACTTGAGGTGCTCCAGCTGGTTGTTGGGGCTTGTATTTCAAAGGGTGCTGCTTCTCCAACCAGCTGTGTGGGATCTCTGATGAGCTCCATCTGATCAGAGAAGCAAGACCTTTTGAAGTAAAAGCAGCTCATCCTTATTTCAGGAACCGTCTGCAATCCGAGTGGATTCCAACCCTTCTTGAAGATCCACATCTGGGTTCTACTTTAATAGGCCCAAATGCTGTACCCATAGAGTAGGGCCTAATAATCCTAGCTCTGCCCCAGCTCTGGATCACGTGTCGCTGTTGCAGGATCCCAGCCGGGCTCCAGAGCAGC